TTTTTTGGAATGTGGCGGGATTAACAAATAAAGATAAAGAGTTTTGGAAGGGGCTGGAGGAATGGGATGTAATGGTGTTATGTGAGAAATGGGTGGATGGTAAGGGATGAGAAAAGATAAAGGAAAGGCTGCCGAGAGGTTACGTTTGGGAAGTGCAGAAAGCAGGGATGAAGAATCGGAAGGGCGGTAGGAGGAATGATAGTAGGTGTAAGGGTAGAGGTCAAAATGGAAAAAGAAAGGACGAAAAAAGATAAAGAAGGGATGCTATCGATAAAGGTGAGGTTAGGGAAGAAGTGGTGGAACATAGTAGGAGTGTATATAAATAAGATATAGACAGGAAATTGGAAAACCTAAAGTAATGGGTGGAAGGAGATAGAGACGGGAGTGAGGGTGCTGATAGGGGGGGATTTTAACGCATGGACGGGGAAGGAGGGAGGATTCGTAGAAGAGAGAGAGGAAGAGAGAGGAGAAGGAAAAAGAAGAACGAAAAATGGCAAGGTAAACGGGGAGGAAAGAAAGTTATGTAGGTTTTTGGAAGAGCATAGGTGGGCGATATTTAACGGAGGAATTAGAGAAGATGAGGAGGGAGAATGGACGTATACAGGGAGGAGAGGGGAGTCGGTGATTGACTGCGTGTTGGGGGACAGGAGGACAAGGGAGAGGATAGAACGGGTAGTGGTGGAAACGAAGGTCGACTCAGAATACCAGCCAGTGACGGCGTGGGTAGAAAAGGTGGCGGACGGTTTGGGTAAAAGGAAGGGGGGAAGGGCGAAAGTGAGAGAGGAGATTCGGTCGGAGGAGGGCAGAAAAAAATTTAAAGAGTTAGTGGAGGATAAGCAAATTCAGGAAGGGGAGTGGAAGAGGAGTGGCAGGGGCTGAAAAGGAGGATAGGGAAGGTATTAAGGGAAGTGAATGGGAAGGGCAAAAAGGGCGGAGAAAGGAGCTATTGAGGTGAAGAATGTAAGGAAGGAAAGAGAAAGGGCTCATGTTAAGGAAATAGAGAAGGAAAGGAAGGAAGAGTGGCAATTATAGGGAGAAAAAACAGCGATACAAGAAGTTGTATGAGGAGAAGAAAAGAAGAGAAGTGGAGAAGTGGGAAAAGGAGGTAAAGGAGATTAGGACAAAGGGACAGATATGGAAGGTGGTAAACAGAGAGAGAAAGAGGAGAAGATTGGACGAGGGAATTAGTATGCAGGAATGGGATAGGTATTTCAGAGATTTGTTGAGAGGAGTTAGAGGAGGAAGAGGAGAAGATAAGGAGAGAAGAGATGTGGGAAATGGTGGGAAAGCTTAGGGAGGGAAAAGCGATGGGAAGTTATGGAATTCCAAATGAGGTATGAAAGTTTGGAGGGGAGGTGGTAAAGGAATGGTTGTGGGAGGTATGTAATAGAGTGTGGAAAGAAGAGGGTTGACCGGATAGTTGGAGGGAGAGAATTATAGTGCCCATAAGAAAGAAGGGGAAGAGGGAAAAAGTCGGGGACTACAGAGGGGTGAGGGATGTTAGCACAAACGGCATACAAGGTGTACGCTGCTGTTTTGACGGAAAGGTTGAGGAAGGGGGTAGAAGAGAAAGGATTGCTTCCGCAGAGTCAGACAATGTTTAGGAGAGGGGTAGGGACAACATCTATGTATTAAATTACTTAATAAATAGGCAGGTAAATTAAAGAAGGAGAAGGTGGTGGTGTTATTGGTGGACAGAAGGATTCTGGTGGAAGCAATGAGGAAAAGAGGAGTGAGGGAGGGCTTGGTGATGAGATGTAAGGAGCTGTTGAGGGATGCAGGGTAAGGGTAAGAGAGGAGCTGGGAGAGAGGTTTTGAACAGGAAGGGGAGTTAGACAGGAGTGCCCGTTAAGCCCGATTTTGTTTACGTTGCTGTTGACGGACAAAGAAAGGTACCGAATGAAAAAATTAAAGTGTAATAAATTTTATATGAGAAATAAGAAGAAAGAAAAAAAATAAAATATGAGAGAGATAAGTACGTGAAGTAAGCGGAGAGGGAAGAGGAATGCGAAGTGGTGACGATTAGATATTAGTACAGTAGAGGAAAAAAAGGAATGAATTAACGGAGAGAAATAGTGGAATGGGATAAATATTTTAGAATAAATATAACGGGAAATATATGAACATGGATGGCGCGCGCGTTAGTGCAGTGTAAGGAGTAGTTAAGTGTAATAAAAAAAATGAAAGCCGAGGAAGCGAAGTGTGATAAGTCTTATGCAAGAAGTAAAAAGAAAGAAGAAAACAAAATATGGGAGAGACAGGTATGTGAAGTGAGCGGAGAGAAAATAAGAAACGAGAGGTGGCGAATGGACATTGGTACAGTGGATGAGAAAGGGAATACATTTTAACGGAGAGAAATGGTGATGTGGGATGAGTGTTTTAAGGTGAAATGGAACGAAAAAAGTTTAAAGCGCGCGCGTAGCGCGCGTGTGTGCTAGTCCACTTTTAAAAAAGGCGTGTTAACTGAGTGAATTGCGTTTGTATCGAAAAATTGAAGCCTCTTTTCCGCGATGCCGATTGGCTATCTCGATTGATTGCCGCGCCGTAGCTTGCTTCATCCCGTGAGGGACTGTCATCGCGGAGTGTGGCGACTTTCGTGCGTGTAGTGCGTCGTGTGTGTCATGATGTGACAGCTCGCGTCGTGTCGCGAGGTTAATATTATTATTAATATTTACCTCGATAAAGGTGAGATCTGAATATATTTTTATATATTGTCGTTAGTAAGAAACTAAATATATGTTAGATGACTCGCGTAGGAAAGCTGCGGCGTATGCTGAAGGTCTCGTACTTGATCCGAAGAAAGGTTTCTATGACAAGCTGGGACTGCTGATGGACTTCAATTTCTGGTATTATACAAGATGTATTAATCCGAGTATTATACAAGAGTACAATTTGCTTTACCACCGTGCCCGGTGCGGCGTATGCTGACGCCGAGGTAATTTTCTTATATGCAAACAACATGAAGTAAATATCTGGACTAAAACATAATTTATACAGTGCAGCAATTAAATATTCTCGAGTTAAATCTGGAGTCAAGTATGATCCCGACGGAGTGTCACAAATTAGTCAAAAGCAGACAACAGATCAAGCAACTCATAAAAGCGCCGAATCTATTGCCGGAACAGAAAATGGATTATCATATCAGGCAAATGGCGTTGAACCTCACAACCAATTCCATGTATGGATGCTTGGGGGCGATGTATTGTCGATTTTACGCTAAAGGTCTCGCCGCTCTGATAACAGGTAAGACGCGAAATATTTTATATTTAAAACGCCGATAACATGAAGCATAATATATTATATAACATCATAATGTTTTTTTTACATAGGGCTTTAGCCTAGGAGGAGGTCGAGGATAAAGCGAAGAGGAAAGAGCAACGTAAAGAACGCAAAGAAAAAAAACGAGAAAAGAAACGTGACGAAGATGATGGTAAAGGAAAGTGGGAAACCGTTAAAGGCGGCGTGGCTATTCCTTTCGAGAAACCGAAGATGTTCGCTAAGGACGCAGAAATTAATATTGGTGCGGTGTTGAAGAAACTTTCTGTCGGTATGTATCATGTTACGTGCTGGGAGTTAATAGCTCTCATCAGATGTAATGTAGCAACGTTAGTAGCGATTTGCGATTGGCGACAATGCAACGTAGTTGCTCAGCCACTGTACCGTGAACCAGACTTTCTTTAGGCTTATTGCTCTGTTGCATACGAAGAGGACGAGACCGATGTTCTCTTTGGCTTTTAGGTCCTTGCGAACTGTTGTTAAACATGAATTCCTTACAGTAATAATGTAGATATTTACATTATTTTGTCGTAATTATTTAACATACGTTTCTCCCGCTGGAACCGAAGATGTATAACGTATGTCTATAATTAAGTGCATACATAATACAATTGAACAAAACATTAAAAAATTGAATATTTTCTTATTAATGTAAATATCTACATTATTACTCTAACAAATTCATGTTTAACAACAGTTCGCAGGGACCTAAAGGCCAAAAAGAACATCGGTCTCGTCCTCCTTGTATGCAGCAGAGCAATAAGCCTAAAGAAGCTCTGGTTAACGGTACAGTGGCTGAGCAACTACGTTGCGTTGTCGGTAATTGTCAATCGCTACTAACGTTGCTACGTTACATCTGATAAGAGCTATTAATTCCTAGCACGTAACATAATACATACCAACGCAAGGGTTACACGATTATGGAACGCGATATGATTAGTCTACGCTCGTTGTTAAGACTGTTTGCTACCGACATAAGAATACAGTAGTTGTTTAAGAAATCGTTATTCTCTTTAAACATATATATTTGAAGGCACAATATTAATATTTATGCATGATTTAGTTTAATGATGGGAATTACATTGTCATGTTTGATATACGGATACATTCATTGAGAGATAGAGGAGTAGCATTAGAAAAATTTCCTGATTGTGAAATTATGCTTCATTTTTATACCAAACTCCTAATTTATGTGGCAGTACTTTAGATGTACCGTATAGTATACCTTGGTTACTCGTTAACGTTTAATGTTCCAATATTAGACTGGATAACGCGCGGCTCATATGTTAATTATTGCTCTGGATAGGTTTTTCATCTAGATATGTCGCTCAGTACTTACATAACATATACAATTTGGTATTGGCAATGTGATATTCTGGTATCATTCCGATATCGAGTTTATTTAATTTAGCTTATTAGAGTCTTGAGACCGATGTTCAGTCCATGAATGCAATAGAAAACGTTTGTATTTTTCTCTTGACGTTCAAATGTGTTAAAAGTATTTGAAATTTTCGAAAAATATTCTGTATAAGAAATTTTAATACAAGGTTTAAATTAGGCTTGCATAAAAAATTTTAATTAGCGATTTAAAAAAATCTTGAACTTTTTTTTATTTAAAACTTTTATTCCAGTTTTATGACAGTGGATTTCTCGGGAAGAATGTTCCTTTCATGCATTTGAAGGAATTAGTAGATCAGATGATAAGTTTGTTGGCCGAAAACAGGTTGCAGTATTTGCATCAGGCTGCAGCGTATTACAGAGTGATCAATAACATCATGGTGAAAATTATTGACAATTCTAATCATACCACCATTATATGGTACGATTTTAGAAGAGAAACAATAACATGATATTGTTTATTTTAATTTTTTATTTCTATTTTATTACGTTTGTTTTCAGTGTATTGATCAAGCTGCTTCATTCCTGCGCTGAATCAAATGTTTCCTCGAAATATGAAAAATTGGTGATGAAATGCTTATGAAAAATAGTAAAAACAATGTCAAATTGGGCCGCTGATTTAGATTACGATACAATACTCTTGGAAGTGCATCGTTTCCTTAAGGTAATGCAATTTCTCATCTTATTCAAGTAAATGAAAATGCAATAAGAAAGATTACTATTGTGCACATTTTGCAATTAACATGAGTTACTAATAAGTCAGTAAACGTTTTAATTGCGCTGTTCTATGTCTTAAATTAATATTTCAATGCGACAACATTATATGTATTATATATGTTATTTTTATAGGATTATCCTACTACATGGTGGAAGAAACGAAAGTCCGACACTCCGCTGCGGACAATCAAGACAGTTCTTCATAGTATGACTAGAGTGAAAGGCAGTTCGATACAAGATCATTTGACGCTAATAAACAATACGAATGAATCTGAATTACAAGTTTACTTAATCAGATTAATCGCGGTTAGTTTCGTATAATTACATACATAATTTTTTTAAATATTAAAGTAATTGTATCGTTTATATTAGATATTAATATTACTACGTGTAGATATGTTAAATTATATAAATCAGGAATTAATTAATAACATTTATTTCAATAGAGTCTTAAGTCAGATGAGATTAATGCCACAGCTAAGGTGACGCCAAAATCAAATAATGTGGGAAGGACACCAAAATACTTGTCCAAGTCAACTTGTCAGCAATTGGCAGAAATATTCAAGAAAATTGGATTGAAAGAGCACATGCAAGAGGTATGTATACATACACAAATAAATGCTTTTTTTTTTTTTTTAATATAACGTAAATTAAAATGTTCAGATTCTGGAAATTATTAAATATTTGCAAAAGTTATTATTAAAGAAAGTTTATTTTTTTTAATTCTTGAATTTTTGGAGAAATGTCCATTTTCGTTGTAACTACTGCAAATTTTGAGATAAAGTAATAATAAGTAATAATAGGTAATAAGTAATAATAAGTAATAATAATCAGATTAAATTCATTATGACTACGTTTACATGACACCGTTAATCGGGCTTTACACATTTGATTACAACTTTAAGTAATTAATATTGATTTTCATCGTTGCTAAGTAAATAAAGATTAAAACAAATCAATTGTTTTTCAGCAAATGTTCACTAAGAGATAGCATAAAATTGTCGGAATAAGCATACAAAGTGTCGCGAGGGTGTTTAATCGGGAACGACGTAGTGCTCCGTACCAAGATTGTAGGCGCGTGAAGCCGTGTGCATAAAGGAGAGCCGAACGCATACCGGATTACGCACACATCAATAATATTAACGAAGTCGAGCAAGAAGAACTCTACGAAAAGTAAATGAAAATATCTCTCTCTCTCTTTCTCTCTTTCTCTCTCTCTCTCTCTCTCTCTTCACAAATTATTCTCAATTTGTAAAATTATTCTCAATTTGTAATTGAAATATAAGATGTGACTATGAATATCGGCCAATGTAATTATGACATGTTTTAAAAAATTATTAGCAGCTGATAAGTATGTTGTACCAACTTTAAACTCAACTTGTAAACATTATTTGTCACGCTATATATTATTGAAACTTATACAGCTTGCGTTATTGTACAATGCCAAATTTTTGGAAACACATTTGATAATTTTATTAAATTGTACATAAAAGAAATTACAGACACTGAAGAATTTCAAAGACTACCGCAAAAAGATTTAAATAAGATAATGGTATTGATTGAGAAAAGTAAATCATTTGAAATCAACACTCATCAATTCTTTTCGTCACCACCTGGCAAATAAGTGATTTTTTGCATTGGCTAATATTTGATTTATATAATAACATTCATAGAACATAATAAAGATATTTTTCTTATTTAATTAGTGAACGTGCTTTCTTCTTTTCCACGAATATAATATAACTTTGAATTTTTATATATGTAAGAATTTATATACAAATGAGTATTGATACAAATTGAGAATAATTTGTGATTTGAGTTTAGATGTAGGATTAAGATTATTACTAATTACACTTAACGTAGTTTAGTTATAAATATCTCAGTCTATAGGTTGATTCTAAAACAAAAGGAAATGGAAAATAAGAATCCTTATAAACTTATGTTATCAATAAATGTTTTATTTAATTTTATTAGTTGTATATCGTATTAAAAATTTCCAATTGTTCTGTAGATCATCCTGTGCATATTGCAGTGTCAAAAATCAAAAGTTAAAAAAAAATAACCCTATTACCGATCTTCACTAAATTCAATCCCAATCTCCCTTACATGATACTCTATCGTTTAAAAAAAAAAAATTATCACGATATCTCAAAATTTGCAGTAGTTACAGCGACAATGGACATTTCTCCAAAAATTTAAAACTTAAAAAAAAATAAACTTCTTTTACTAATCTTTATTAAATTTAATCCTAATCTCTCTTACATGATATTTTGTCGTTTAAAAAATTAATTTAGTTAATTAAAATCTTTGGAGAGGAGCTTCTGTTGTTAGATCATAGAGATGCGCTTGTAATACGTTGCAAGTTCGAATTTCTTTACAATCTGATAAATAAAACTATATATACGAATTCACTATCATCTAAAATTTCAGGAGACATGACATATTTTGGAGACTTGACTTTTGATGAGTTTTGGTTTAAAAATAAATCAATTTTATGGTAGAAAAAAATGTATCAAAAAAATTGTTCGCCCGCAACAGTAGTTTAAGAATATTTGCCTTAAGGTGCCATTTCACGTTGACGCTCGACACTCATTTTTAACGAGCAAAAATCTTCGAAAATAATATTTTTTATAATAATATTTTTTAAGGTCCAAGAGCACACCGTACCCTTCTCCCAACTCGTTGGGATGAGGGGTACAATAGGATCCGGCGCCTCTGCCAGGAAACTTGTTTCCTGGCTCCCAAGCGTCGGTAGGGGAAGGCGACCCCGACTACAAATGCCCGGTCGGCTGAGACCGATAGGGGGAAAGGTTGATTCCCCACCAGCCTAGAGGAAGGAAAACCTCGATAAAAAACTACCGGGGTGGTGGGAAACCTCCTGTGCCCTGTCCTTCCGTGGGCGGCGGATGCCGGAGAGCGGGCAATGGTCCGGTCCGGTATCTGCCTGCGCACTGGATGATTATGGTGGGAAATTTTCTTAGGAAGGCGATGGGAATCTCTCTTAGGAGGCGTTGGGAGAGGGCCCTTTCACCCATTGCACGCCGGTGCAATCCTTAAGAGGACACCTCTTCAAAAATAATATTTTTTATTTATAAATATATCCGTAAAATATTACTACTTGAAGATATTACTTAAAAATAATTAACATTTTACGTATTTCAAAGTTTATTTTTGAGTGTACTGGGACGATCAACGATTCAACGTTGGATGTTGAATAATTTTAACTTTATTTCTTGACTGTAGCGTCAAAGCGAAACCACCTGACTCTAAAAATAATATTCTTTATTTATTTATATTACATTGGTACAAAGGGAAACATAAGATGGTGTCATTGGTTTGACCTAGAGTGAACGTGCCGAGGTCATATGGAGTTCAATTTTGTTTTTTTAAATAGGACTCCCTATTTTTCATTGCATATTTTTGTAGCTTACCTAAAGAGCTATTAAAAACACTGTATTTTTTTTTTATGAAGTACTTTTCGAGTTACAAGGCTTGAAAATCACAATCCCGCCGGCATTAGCATTATCCAAAGTGTACCGGCCAATGAATTAATTTTGCAAAAGAATATCAAGATATAAGAAATGTTTAATTGAATTTGTAAATTCAATTGAAAATTAATAGTGCTTGAGATTGGATTCAAAGAATAAAGAATCATAATTTTAGGTCAAATTAGTTTTTTATTTTTTAAGAATGAAAACTATTTTTGTATTGTACTTTCGAATTTATCTAATTAAAATAAATGTTTCTGGTACCTTAACAATTTTTTTACAAAATCGATAGTTTCCGAGATATTTGGGCTAAAAATTGCGATTTGTACGAGCACTAAGGCGCGTTGCTCTTTTACTTAGGGGGAGTGCCATCAATTTTAGGTCTTGCTTTCACTGGCCGAATCAATGTTGGGTCTTGTCTTCATTGGCCGGTATACCTTGGGTAATGTTAATGCCGGCGGGATTGTAACTTTTAAGCCTTGTAACTCGAAAAGTACTTCATGAAAAAATACTTAAATATAGTGTTTTGAAAAGCTCTTTAGGTAAACTACATGAATATGCAATAAAAATAGGGGGTTCCATTAAAAAAAAAAACAAATTTGAATTAAAAAAAATAAAACGCCGTCAAATTTTAAATAAATTTTTATATTTTTCTCTTTTATGCAGTGTGACGGATTAGCCCCGGGCGGGGGGGGGGGGTGACGGTTAAACCGCGGCATTTTTGAGATTTTAATTTTACCACTGTTGTCGTTTTTGCTCTATACCAGTTAAACAAAGCGACATAGATAAAAATTTCCTATATAAATTTTGTAGCTAAAGGTTCACTCTTTACAGTGGTATACCACATTTAACTAAAATTATTTATTTTATTGTTAAAAATCGGCACCAAAAAAAAACTGACGGTTTAACCCCGGTCTCTCCTATATATACTTATATAAAATTCTTACGCGGGTGTATGTTTAAACGTTTTCAACTTAAAAACTATTGTACCGAATTTTTGCTAAAAGTATATAAAATAGGGGTAGAATATTTTTTGGGAAGTGCTATAAAATGTACAGTTTTGCGTTAACGATCTTTTTCTCGGAACCAATATTCGAAATTTTTACAATTTTTCGGGAAATAATTGACTGAATTTTGAAGAATTGTATATAAAACAGGAGTAGAATTTTCCAAGAAGTGCCATAAAGTGTATAATTTTTCGTTACCAATCTTTTTGGAAACTGGTATCAGAAATTTTTTCAATTTCTCAGGAAATAATTGATCGAATCTTAAAGAATTGTACATAAAACAGGGGTAGAATTTCCCGGAGAGTATTATATATTGTTACCGATCTTTTTTGGAACCA